GGCAGTTCGTCAGAGGAGCAATTGCTTTGCTTCTCCTGGTTCTGGGTTCTCTCTCTTCTTTCTCTTCTCTTGTATTCTTTCTCTGTGAGAGAGAGAGAGAGAGAGAGGAGAAAGATGAAATTTTCCAATGAATATGATGTGGTACGATACAAAATATATTATTGTAGTACAATATGAATTTTTTTGTTTTTTTTTGTTTTTTTTGAGGGTAGAGGTACTAGAGGTAGACGTAGAATTAGTATTAGTTTAATAAAATAAATAAATATATATTATGTAACGGTATCTTGAATTTTAAAACTTAGTGAAACCCGCAATTAACAATGACCGCTGGTAGGTCTTTGAAAATGACAACTCCGCCTCCGCCAGTGAAAGGCGGCAAGAAACCACCTCTGGAGTCTCGTCCTCTTCTTTGGTGCTTCACTTGTGCACACCACCACCACCGCCAAACAAATAAAATGACCTTCTTCTTAAACAATAATAATTGGAAACCAACAAAGCGTTTATGTCTTGGTTTGGGTGGCATTAATTGGAGTGAGTGAATAAACTAATTTTAAATTAAAACAAAAAACAGTATTTATTTGTTAACATGAATACATGTGAAGTTGACTCCACTTGATTTCTTATTTAATAATGTGATTCAATTATGCTAACAGCTCATTTGGTGCGTGTCAGTTCACCTCAACTTAACTTCAAACTTGTTCATAAATAGAATTATATATATATTACCATCTGTGATTATTCTTTTCTTATAATGTTAAGATATGCGTTATTCATAGATCATACATCATGTTACAAAAAGATGTAGTACCACCATCCACCAATAAATGGAATGCACTATTATTTCCACCTACACTTTCATATAATTCCACCATCATTGGGGCGTGGTGGATGCTACTCTTTTTTTTTTTTTTCTTTTTTCTTTTTTCTTTTTTTGGGGTTATAAATAATGCATGCTTTGTGGTTGTGGGTTAGGGTTGCGGGAGCTTGGATATGCAACACAACAAGTATAACTCAGGTACATAGAAAATGAAAAAGCATATCTTCAAATTTAAGGTCATTATTGAAATGGGCTCTAAAGTTTTAATTTCATTAATTCGAAACTTAATGTTTTTTTAAATCTGGCCAAATTATGCACTATATCAACTTCACCGTTTGATTTTCTATTCAATTAATGACGTGGCAAGTATAATACTCACCGTTTACTCTAAGAAAACAATTACACCAGCAATCGATATTCCAATTAAAGCTAGCTAATGTCATACTTTTGTTTTTATTTTTGTAAAAACCATGTCATGTCTTGAGTTGTTTCTAAAATAATAATAATGTTTAGGTTAGATGGTTAACTTTTTCTATAAATGCAAATATATCATATATGTGTGTGTGTGTCGTATGTATCATGTATGTACTTGGCTTGGCCTGGATATTGCACACGTATTTAATGTGGTTAGATAAACGGTAAAGAGGTAGGTGGCCACTGTATTTGCATTTGGCATGGTTTTGATTAGTAATAGGCAGGCAGGCAACCCTCCAATTTGATTAGTAATCATCGACATGTGACTTTGTCATTTGGATTGAATTTACACCAAATTGATTAGCAATTATCGACATGTCGCCTTGTCAATATCTTGTAAGTTTGTAAATTGCTGAGTCCCTTATGAGCTGATACTTACTTTCATGCTCATTATTTTCCAATGCAATTCAAATAAAATAAAGAAAAAAAACAATAAATAAATGGAGGGATTCTTTTGTATCAATGAGAGGAGAGGTGCATGGTTCGTGACTCGTGAGGTCATTTGAATAAACTAGTGGGTTTGGTGGGGTAGTGGGGCATAATTCCTTTATTATAATGCTAATCCTATCCTACCTATTACAGAGTCATAGTGCACTGCATATAATGTAAGACAAATTTATTATGAGAATCATGAGAGAAGGTGAGTAATCTATATTTCGAAAGACAAGTCACTAAATCCCAATAAATGAGTGTAAGAGAAAAAGAAAAAGAAAAAATAAGAAAAAAGTGTTTAAGACTAAAACAAGTGATTAATGCCACTCTTACCCCATGAAGTTGCACGTTTAGTTTATTAGTTTTGTGAATAATATTGTAAGAAGATGATACCAAACAAAGTAGGAGTAGCGCAGACATGAAGCAAGCAACCAATCATATCAAGGTAAAAACCTTAATATTATATTAGCATGATGGGTTTTTCTACTAATGTCCCAGCAAATAGAAGCCTCTCTCATTTGAAGTGCAGATCAGCAATGCGCACCAAATGGAGAAGAAGATAAGAGACTTTTATAATCTTCCTACACCTAAAGACAGAGAGCCCAACATCACTCACCTAATTGGAAGCTCATTGGAGTTTCATTCTTTCTACAAATTCATGGTCATTAAACAAATTATTATGCCAACTCAACTCATTTGTTTTCCTGTCAAGTCTATACACTATACACATGATATTATATGCTTATACTCTGTCCTTTGTTTTCTTCTTCTCTGATTTGGGTAAAGAACTGATAAAGATAGAATATCTGACCTACACCAAAATCCTCTATCAATCCAGTGGACTCCGAGGGCGTTTGCACTGTTTGCAAAGGAGTTCATCAGAAGTAGAAAAAAAAAAGCAAAATAAAAGAAAATTCATCCATTCCATAGTATAAATCCAGACTCACATTCCAAAAGCTCTGAGCTATCATTCAGTTCCTCTTTTATTGAATCTTCCAAAATGTTTGGCCACCATTTTTAAAAGGGAATGAATCGAAGTGCCTGCCACATCCCAATGCACTGCTCTCAAAGGCAAGTAAATTTCTTATCCTGTTTTCAAAGTAAAAAGAAAACCAATTATTCAATAATATATGCAGCAACTAAAACTTGTCAATGTAATGAAATTGCTCAATCAACCGCAAATGAAACTAACCTGCTAAGGCAATAATCATAAAGCCAAAATGACAACGGGAAGGTTGAATGCACCCATGAATCTTCTTCTTCACCAGAAGTCAGCACAACTGCAAATTCCATCTTGGAAATGATGAAACCGACTCAAATCTCTTACAATTATTTCTCTCTTTGTAATAAGAGTGATGACCTTTATGGCAGCATGGCAATCACCACAAACCCGCAAATTTTTGGTAACTAAGATGGGTTTGCCTGGCCTCAGACTAAGAATTGCGTAAGCAATGGCTAGCTTCTCACTATGATAAAGGAGGATTCTTTCTTTCTCCTCTTCCTCAACATCTTGTAAAACAAAACTATTTTCTGCACAATATCCCAGCCTTTTCATATCTACTAGTAGTTCCTCTAGTTTTTCATGTATCTGAGCTGATTGAGGATGGGACTGATCTCCACCAACAAATCCATGAATAATCCCGTTTATCTCAACCCAACTGCATCCTGGACTCTTCTTAAGGCCTTGGCCCTTCTGCTTGATTCTGACATAGGCTGCATCATCCCATCTCCCAACAGCGCTGTATATGTTAGATAAAAGGACCAAATTTCCAGTACCTTCGAATCCTTTCCCCTGAATTTTCTTGGATACTTCTTCCCCAAGTTCAATATTATTGTGGACCCTACATGCAGCAAGCAGTGCACTCCACACACGAACATCAGCCTCAAATGGCATTTTTTGGATGAAAACGTGTGCCTCCGCCAAAAGTCCAGCCCGGCCGAGAAGATCCACCATGCATATGTAATGTTCCATCCTCGGGGTTATGTTGAAATCCTCACTCATAGCACTAAACCAGTGTTTGCCTTCGGTGACAAGCCCCGAATGGCTGCAAGCAGATAAAAGACCAATGAAAGTCACGTCGTCGGGCTTAATGCCAGCTGCCAGCATATGATGGAACTGTGAAATAGCTTCCATCCCAAGGCCATGAATCCCATAACCAACTATCATTGCATTCCATGAGATAATATCCCGCGTAACCATTCTGTCAAAAACTTGTCTACCTCTATTAATCTTCCCACACTTTGAGTACATGTCTATTAAGACATTACAAATTGAGGTGTCAGTACCGAAACCATGAACAATTGAATAAGCGTGACCACAGGCCCCATGTTGAAGAGCAGCCAAATGTGAACAAGCTGGCAAAACACCCACCATGGTTGCCAAATCTGGATCAAACCCGGACAATTGCATATGATGAAATATAAGTAAAGCTTCCTTTGCATAACCATTCTGCACGCAGCCTGAGATGATAGCACTATAAGAAACTGTATCTTTTGAATTCATTTTATCAAAGAATATGACTGCGTCATCTATGATCCCACACTTTGCATACATAGACAGGATTGTGTTTCCCACCATTGTGTTTAAATCAAACCCAGATTTAATTGCATAACAATGTACTCGTCTCCCTCTACTCAGATCAGTTAGCTTTGTGCAAGCTCGGAGTATACTCCCAAGAGTTACCGGTGTTGGATTTATTTCCTTTCTTAGCACCATTTCATCAAATAACGCCAGCGCCTCTCTCATAGAGTCACAGATCACATACGCACCTATCATAGCGCTCCAACAAACCTCGTTCTTGACATCAATTGCATCAAATATTCTCCTCGCATAAGCTATGCACTGACATTTAGAATACATATCCAAAAGCCCAGTTCCAAGCACCACTTCACCACTAAGGCTCCTTCTTAGGGAGAAACCGTGCATTGCCTTCCCTTGGCTCAATGCATTAGCTTGTGCAACTGTGGGAAGAACTGCAACAATGGTGGAAGCGTTTGGACTTGTTCCAGCTTTCTGCATTTGAACAAGCATTTGTATAGTGTCATCATAAAGACCATGAAGCGAAAACCCGGCAATCATAGCATTCCATGCCACGACATCTTTATACAACATACCATGGAAGACGGCCTGTGCCTCTGCCAAGTCGCCGCACTTGGCATAGAGGTCAATCAAAGCAGTGCAAACATAGACATCAGAGGCAAGCCCAAGTGCTTTGGCATGCTCATGTATCTCTCTACCAGCTTCCAGTGCTTGTAAACCCGAGCAGGCCTTGAGAACAAACGGGTAAGTGTACTTAGTGGGCTTAACACCCGATTGGAGCAAGTCATAGTACAAGTGGATGGCTCGTTCAAAGGGTCCATTCCATGCGTATGCTCTTATGAGAAGGTTCCAAAGAATAACACTTGGTTGGGGAATTTCATCGAACACGCGGGATGCGAGGTCAACTTGATTGCAGGCTATATACAAATGGGCTACTTTTTCAAGTAAAAAGGAGGTGTCCTTGAGGCGGGTAGTGTTTTTCAAGAGATGTTGATGGATTTTCTTGGCTTGAGGGAGAGATTTAGATCGAATGCAGGCTTGAACAAGGTTTGCATAATAAGAGTCGAGAGAAGTGAGGGTATTTGTGGAAAAGCCGTGTGTTGTTGTTGCTAGTATCACTAAGGCAAGTGGTTGAGTTGTAAATTGGTCAACAAATTGGCGTCGAGTGAGTCGTCTTGCGGTGGCCAACCATAACATTTCCTTGTTCGTTAATTTGGCTTTGTCTTTGTCTTTGGGACCAAATTAACGACTCCCCCACAAACAATGGCGGGTTGGTTGTGGGTGCGTTTTATGTAGGTGACCAAATCGATACGTTATCATCTGAACTGAACCAGATTTGATTCTTTATTAACTCCCGGAAGAAAATTAAAGGTAAGCCAGTAGTTTTTAAAGAATTCTTCCCCTTATCTTATTTTCCATCTCATTTGTTTAAAACGTAGGGCACTTTTCTAATAACTTATGAATTGTCTCGCACTTTTCTAATAGAACAACCCAGTAATTAAATTGTCTCGTGACACTGACTAAAGCATGATTAAGACTTGGTAATAGCTGGTAGATGGAAGTACAAGAAACAAGCAAAAAGAAGACTACAAATTAAATTATTATACTAATCCACACACAAACACACAGATGTATATATATCGTTGTTGTCATCATCGTCGTCTTTGTTGTCGTGGTGATGTCACCATATATATATATATATATATGTATATACTTCCCCTACTTACCAGTAGAGTAGTAGATATACTGCATGCGTGTTAACCCCAAATTAATTTTGCAACAACGAGAAACACATTTGCCACTGTGGTGACCTGTATATGCAGCTTTTGTTGTTGTTGTTGGTCGGAATGTATATGCTCTAAATTAATAAAGATAAAAGTTTAAAGAGCCCTTTTTTTTTGTGTTTAAAATTTCCCAGCAAATGAATCGATGTTGCTGTACCTGTAAGAATGAATAAGAAACTCAAAAGTTATATGCATATGTTAATTCATATATGGGAAAATGTTTTTGATGATTAACTTAATTAAGTCAGTATGTGTGGTTTAGATACCCAATCTAGCAAGATAAGTATCTTTATTTGAAAACATGAATTGAATACACACACACACACATATATATATATATTATAACACAAATGACCCAAAAAAAAAAAAACAGATAAAAAAATGCAGGAAGAGAAGCGTCAGTAAGAAGAAGGTTTTGTCTGAGAATCTGGAAAAGGAAAAGTGTGAGGTCCTGAAGAGGAGCGAGGAAAATAAGGGACCTTGAGTCTTTTCCTTTATATATAAACTGACCATGATGCATGAATGGTGCTATAAATCATCTGGTAGCAAGAGCTAGCAACAAGGAGAATCAAGGACGACGACCAAGGAAGGAACACAACTAATCAAACTGAAAAGCAAGCGTGCGTTGCGTGAGTGCGTACACAGGAAGCTCTGATCATCATATAATTAATGGCGCCAGTGGGATTACCTCCTGGTTTCAGGTTCCATCCAACAGACGAAGAGCTTGTGAATTATTATCTCAAGAGGAAAATTAATGGCCAAGAGATTGAGCTTGATATCATTCCTGAAGTTGATCTCTACAAATGCGAGCCTTGGGAATTAGCAGGTGATGATCGATCATCCATCTTAAATTTAATTACTACCTTCTTAATCTTAATTAATTACCCTCGACATGATCATTCCAGTTCGATCTATATATACGACGATACTTGTTATATATATATATATATATATATATATATATATATAGGGCAACTTCTTTGGACCCCGGGATCGAAAATACCCAAATGGATTTAGAACAAACAGAGCGACGAGAGCAGGATACTGGAAGTCTACTGGGAAAGACAGGAGAGTAACATGCCAGAATCGAGCCATAGGAATGAAGAAGACACTAGTTTACTACAGAGGGCGAGCCCCTCAGGGAATTCGCACCGATTGGGTCATGCACGAATATCGCCTTGATGACAAGGACTCATGCTCCGACGACACCTCTTCCTCTTCCTCTTCCTCATCCCCTTGTGCCGCCATTCAGGTAGGTAACATCATACATATATATATATATATATATATCTATATACATTTAATCCACGCATATTATTAATTAATTACTTAATATTATAGCATATGGTTGCATGCATGCATGGAATGGAACTGATCATGTTACTCATCATCTTACCAAAAAAATTTAAAATAAAAGAGTGCAGTGCGATACATGAAATAATTTTCGTCACTTCAATTAATTTAATCACTACAAAATGTATATATCATTTTGCTAATTAGTATATAAAATATTATAAATATTGGGAGAAATTAATATACTGGTTTATATATTCTGAATGACTCTTTGACACATGCGACGATCGATCTATTTGACTCGAAAAGCATCAAGCATGCTTGAGTCAGTAAGAAAAGCATTTCTTTTATCTTGCTTTTATTATAATTTCCACCTCTTTTACAGCGTGGGATGCAAAGGCAGGCTAGCTTCATTAACAATCTAATAATCAACACTAGCTACTACTATAGTATACTAGCAGCAATTGATCAGAAGGCTTTGGAATGAAAAATCTAGGAACGTAAAACTTGCACGAGTTGCATGGAAATGGAATTGGAAGCTTATTTATGAACACACAGATCTCATATGATATACTTGAGTGTTTTGTCTACTATTCCAATATCCCTACCCTACCCTGCCCCTTGAAATCCCTGACGCACAGACATATTCGTTGCTTGCACTGGATCACTTGGAGATCTCTTGTTAGTGACAAAAAGCTGATGAGCTTCGCTTTGTCTTTTTGTAATGAGACAAAAGTACAATCCTCCGCATGATTCAGAAGATATCCCTTTAACTCAAGCTTAGGAATTGTATTTAGGCTTAATCATTCTATGATATCTGGACTTGACGATTGTAAACCTAATTAAGTTACTTGGCGTATTCCAAACCACAAAAAGCAGCCACCCTCTGCAGTCCGCATCACTTTCATTCTGTAAGAAGGTGTCGGGGACTTTTTACTTTATTCCAAAGTCCAAAACAAGATCAATTATATATTATCCGCATCCCCTTTACGCTTTTACCATAAGAATTTAAAATTAAAATTATTAACTTCATCACGATCCTCATTCGTGTATTTTTTGTTGCACTGCACAATTTTAATTTTACTAGTTTTGAATTTTACATCCTCCTCACTTAAGTTGCATGATGAATTTAAGGGTAACTAATATTGAGCATGACCACCAACGTAACCCTAACGCGCATGCAGGATTCTTTTGCATTATGTCGCGTGTTCAAGAAAAATGGAATTTGCTCGGAGATGGAAGAGCAGCAAGGGCAATATAGTGCCTCCCTAATTCAGGAAAGATCATCACAAGGTACCACTGGTAGTGCTACAAATTTTAATGATTGTGAAACCATGTCGCCGGATATTCCGATGACAGCATCGTCGTGCCTGGAGGAAGATGACAAAGACGATTCATGGATGCAGTTCATCACAGATGATCCATGGATGCACCAGTGTTCTACTAACCCTGCTATGCCTGCTGAAGAGCACCTCTCTCATGTCCCCTTCACAAACTAACTAAATAAATATTTCCCTGAGTTTTTGGATCTGATGGCTGGATTGGTGGTAAATAACTTGAAAAAATGCATGCACACTGATGCAATTTTCTTACAATAAAATGAAACATACATACACGATTTCATAAAAGAAAACCAGACCAAGTTTGTAAGGGTTTTTCATTATATATCCTTCATCAATTTGTAGATTGATTAATTATCTTTGGCTGGCTTTAGCCATTCGAGGATGGTTTGGTTGGTGGCTTCTCTAGAGTCAGATTATCAGATGACTCTAGTGTAGAGATTTTGATGTCGACTCGACCTCTTTCTGGTGGTGCTTTGGGTGGGGTGTTGTGGAATAAAATTGTATGCAACATTTTTAGCAATTGGATTTCGATGTTGGCCTCTTGAAGTAATGGCATATTAATGTTTACAGTTTCTAGTTTGTAATGTTGTGTGTGCCACTCAATGTTTAATTTCTTCGAGGTCTTTACAGTTTCCTCTGCTGGTTTCATCCCGCGTCTCTTTTGATGTAATAAAATTTGAAGAACAATAGTACTGCAAGATATTCTTGTTCCAAAATTATGCAGAGAGACAAACATTTCGACCACCATGTTGTCCTGTACATTTTGGACAGCCAGCAGTGATTGCTTCATGTCACAAAGCAACAAAGCCAATCTTCCACTGCTCGAATTCTGCAGAGCCTAACATGAAGGAACTAGCGCTTTGATGCCCACCGCCTCCAAACTCCTGAGAAGAAAATGCATATTCGATTTTAGCTTTTTTAAAGTACTGTATATGCCATGCCATGTAACAGGCAGGAATCATCTGTGACGAAGGAACAACCTGTGAGATGGGCGTCGTGTCTTCGGTGTCCACACTCCTAAGGCTTATTTTAAGCATTTGGTCATTTTCAAGCTCTGGGACTCTGTATACAACAGCCCCGACACCCCTAAAGAGAATTTGAAAGGGAAAAAAAGGACATGAAATCGGAAGGATGAAGAAACAGACATTTTAGTGACACCTTAAAATACATATCAAACAAGTTATTGAATGCGCATTCGAAATCCACAAGGGTAAAATCACAGGAGGTGATGAAAAAGGGGAGTATCTTCCACTTGGGAAACCAATGTCTAAGTATATCAACATGCTATTGTAGAGAACAACCTCAATAAACAGAGATAAAAGCCAATTTCCCATCTTACTAACAAAATATAATGGAAAAAGTTCTGAAAAATGCAGATGGCAGGATGTGCCCATCCGTTCCACATCAATCTCAAACAGAAAGACATGATGAAATCATGAATTTTACTAGAGCAGTGTGAAAAAGGATTCTAACATAGGTTATATGAACTAATATACAATCCACCAGACATTTTACCCGGTAAAAAATCTTCATAAAAGATTTTATTTGTGAAGCCATTTCCAAACGGAGCAACTGGTTCCTCAAATAAATTCCTTGATTGACAATATCAAACTCGCAAATGCAGCTCTTGAAAAGATTGCTGTGGTTGATAGTTGAGGAACTGCTTTCCCAAATGGAGGAGCTCATAAGACGTGTTCTGTGACCCCTTCAGAGAGAATGGATACAAAGGGACTAAGAATCTAAGAAAGCTCAGTTTCTGGAGGATGGGATTCCAGAATTGAGTAGTTTCCCCTTTACGGGGACCACAACTGAACATCTATTATTAGTTGCCCTTTCAACTGAGGGTATTTTCTCCATTGAATAAATATTGAGAAGAAAAAAAAAAAAAAAAAATTGACCACAATTGTATGAAAAACCATAATAATCGAGGAAACTAACCAGTTTCTCCTATATGAGATGTCACTCCAATGCTATAATCATTTATGGCTAAGGAGGAAAAATGCTAAATTCATCATGCAATTGTTTAAGTCCACTTATAGTTTTCTGCATTCAACACTGTTTGTGGATGAAACATTTAAAGACGAAAATTGGAATGTGATAAGTAAAATACACTGGCAATCAGCAGCACATCTAAAGAAAGCAAAACCAAGCCAAGAAACTTGGAAAGAATTTTCACAAACAAGGAACAGAATCCCACAGATACCATCCATTTCATAAAGTGACCAAGTTAATTTTCAACAACACAGAATGAACAGAACACAAATCCGAGAAATGCATATATTTCAAGATAACATGAGTGAATAAGTAGAATGCCACAAACCTTAAGTTTAGACTACGGCTTTTAGTAGCTAATTGATGTCCGAGTTCACTCCTCAACTCTGAGATAGAATCTGCGTTGACAGCCTACAAAAAGATTATGCATTTACAATCAATTTTCCATCTTTTACATGCAGAGAATCAGAGGAAGTATATACCAGGCAATGTCCAAAGGCTCCACCCCCAAGTGCAATTTCATAAGACCGATTGAGAGCTTCATCTATTAATTTCTGCTTTTTTGATAAGCTCGCCATTCCTTGACTAATTAAGGACTCCAAATCCAAAGAAAGCAGCTGCTCAGGGGAACCAAAAAAAAAAAGATCATAAATTTTAAAAAACGAATTCAACTATATTATTAAGAAAGAAACAAGCAAATTACTTGTTGGAACAAAGACGGGTTGAGGCCGACGTCGTATTGAAAGTTTAAATCTTTGAGCCCACTACTGAAAGCTTTACTATTAGGGAGGCTCCACCTCCAGAGATCCCCATCCTCCACATATTCGAACAGCCTCCTCACTCTGTCAAACTGAGCAACCACCGCCTCGTTCTTGTCGCCACTGTCACCGCCAATTTTGCTTTTGAAGTAATCAAAAGCAATGGTGGCCCCGCTCCTGTTCATGTCTAGGACACCGGTGACGTTTTCATCAATGCGCGTCGTTTCGAGGGCAGTCTTGTGGTGGTCCAGAACGACGACGCTGGGGACCCTGGAAGAGATCTCCTGGACAAAACCAGGGGGACCCACAAAGTCAAGGAGGTAGAGGCGGTCGATCTGGTGGAGAGGGAGGTGTTGGGGGGTGATGGGGCTGTAGACGGTGTTGGGGAAGAAGAGGAGTTCTTCCATAGACATGGCTGAGAAGTAGAGGTGGGCGGCCAAAGCAGCAAACGCACCGTCTGGGCAAGGATAGTGATACAGCACCGCCGCTTTCATGGTTCTCGCGCTCCTGCACAAAGCTGCTGCACAACTAATGTCCGCCGCTCTGCTGCCTCTAATTTTAACTGGTTTTTTCTTTTTTCTTTTTTGCCCCTTTTTCTTTTATTTTTGTTTGTAAAAGATTAAATAAATTAGGCAAGAGTAAAATTAGGGGGAAAATAGTAATTTAGCCGGTAAACTACAACGTGGTAGAAGAAGATAAGTCACTCGCTCGCCGAGTACAAGTCTGTAATTCACCTTCATAGTTCACATACTGACTGATAGTTGATTCTTCCCAAAATGACAACGAGCGTCGTCCTCAGGAGCGCTCCAAATCTATGGGCTTCGGCCGATACCAGTAGCAGGCACAAGCAACAGAAAACATCTGAGTCTCAGGTGGGCTGCTGTATCAGTATTACGGGCAATTCCAGTTCCTCATTAACTTATTGTGGTTGGCGGAAGCAGTTACTCCCTTGCCTTTCCTCCTCTCCCAGGCACAAACGCCGCACCTTCTTACCTTTGGCGTCTCTTTCGTCTTCTTCTCCTTCCTATTCTCCCAACACCTCTACCAAGCTTTACGTCAGTGGTCAGTCAGTTCTCTCTTTCCTAATATAATATCCGTTCACATGTTTTGCAGTATAATGATGCACAAATGCTATTGGGTTTTTGTTGTTGATGATACATACAATAGTGGCATTCTCTAATCTATATTCTGTTTACCTGAATTACAATTCTACTCCTGCTGCTCTGCAAAAGAAAAAAAGAAGAAGAAGAAGAAAAAACTTGATTTGGACTAGGATTAGCCTCTGAAAACTCTGTCCAATTTACATTGTAAAGCACCATACTTTAGGAGGTCTGTAGGCTTGATGGACAATTTATGCACTTGGGTCCTCTTGGCTAACCAACACTCGTGGAGTCGTGGACTCATGTGTCTAAGAAATGAAAACAAGGATCCCCACAGTTCAAACTGTATGTTAATAGAATGCATATTACGTATCAATGACGGGGTATTGTTCAATTTCTCATATGGTTCTCAATATTTTCTCAAAATTGAAGTTTATTGCTCTGTCTACGACTCTTCAGAGTTCAGAGTGGAACAAAACATCACAATTAATATGCTTTGTCATGCAGGGCTTTCATTTCGCACCACTGAGGAGAGTTTGCGAAATGCTTTCCAGAATTTTGGACAACTTGTAGAAGGTGAGAGCAAAGATGTTAACATGTTCCTTTTCTTAGTTGAGCTGCCTATAGCATCTGTCAGTGTTTTTATGGGTCAGCTATTGGTCATTTCTTTTCACTCTCTTAAGAATCTGCTTTTCATTTATAGTCAATTTGGTGATGGATAGAATAGCAAATAGGCCAAGAGGCTTTGCTTTTCTCCGCTATGCAACTGAAGAGGAATCTCAAAAGGCTATCGAGGGACTGCACGGAAAGGTATGTCCTGGCCAAGAGGCTTCTCTTTCCTTTCTTTCTTTTGAAAACAAGATGAAAAAACTAGGAAACAAATGACACTGCACCACTTACTGATGATATATCAGATTCATACAATATACCATTACCATCAGTGCTTGAGGGAGAGATGCGAGCGAGTCCTGGCCAGTGTATGAAACAACTATTTGTGTATATAAGACTTTTGACCATTAGTTGCATGTGAAGCCAAAGATCCTTCTAGTTGAGGATTTTCAGTAGAACGAACAATTCCTAATGCACACCTGGTCTAGAAATTTGCCTTCCTTGATTGATAGTCTCATACTGCTTGCTTTATGCGTGTGTCTTTGTATCCGTTAGTGTCTTAGATGACCCAACTTTGTCCTGGTATTGCTCGGGTTATTAGTCTGATTCAGTCTGTTGATCTATTTGTTCTATTATTTCTACAAACATGCACAAAAGCAGCACTCTTCAACTGTTTTGAAGGCTGAGGTACTCTCTCGGACTATCGGGCTCCAAACAAATGAAGCAACAATATCAGTCTTTGGTAGCATAGCTTATAATCAGCTCATGCACAATGACATATCATCATTTATAGAACATCACCAAGACATTAATTATTGTTCGTGTTGTTGAGGTTAGAACTAGTGTGTCTTATATCCATGTTTCCAATGCTTTGCAACCAAGAGTCTCTGACCGAAAAAAAAAAAACTACGTCGATACATTCCATCACTCAAATTCCACTAGGAAGTAATCGCAATCAAAGAGCTCATGTGTTTCAAACTTTTTGGTGTTAATTTTGCATTCAAGTTCTCTTGATTGTGTGCTTTGGTCATTGATTGAGCGGACATGATTTATTTACAGAGTGAGTCCATCAGCAGAGTCTAGTATAAATAAAGTGCCTTCTGTTCTGTGGACTATTGGTAGTCTCTTTGAATTTTGCGTTGTTAAGTTGGGTTCCGATAAGTCCTCCACATGAGTTTCATACAGTGTAAGCACTTGGCAAAAGCCAAACTGGCTTCTGAATTTTAATCTGGAATGGAAGGCATGACAGCACAGCCTCATAAATAGACAAACAAGGCCCTTGGGTTCTTGGCATGTCAAGCCTACTGAATTTGAATATGAATTGAGACACTGCAGCTCTGGCAGAAGAAACTATTTTGAATTTTTCTTCTTTGTTTTGTTTTTTCAGTTTCTGGATGGCAGAGTAATATTTGTTGAAGTTGCAAAGCCCAGATCAGAGCTCCGTCAAACTCCCAAACAAAACCCAAGACAGTATTGAAAAGTCGGCTCTAACGTCCACTTTGTTAGAATTCTAAATTCTCCTTCTTGTATACTGCTGTCTCCTTCATAGAGGAGTAAGGGTTGAGGAATTATGGGATAGAATTAAATTTTGGGCATCTCTTTGGGCGTCGGTTTCGGGGCAGTTCAAGGACTATCACTACTCTACCATCATGAGAGACATGATGGCAGTCTTAAGATGATTTTACTGAAGTTTTTGTGTTTTTTAATTACAGAATTATTTTAAATCTTAGTAGGTCAGACACTCTTTTTTAGGTCTTGTTTGTTTTGATAGAGGATTTTTCCTCTTGATTATCAATATAATGTTTTTATTAAAATATATATATATATATATGTGCTTTCAATTCAAGTTACTAAATTCATGGGGTTGTAAGAATGTGGTATTGCGCATCGCATTACAAGTCAAAAAAGAAGCAAAAAGAAATCTTATGTATTGTTCGTATCAAATATTTCCACTCGTCTAATCCCAGTTCCAGTTAGGAGACGAATATGTATCGAATTGAAGCCTAATCATTTCATTGAAAGAATAGGGTAAAAAGAATAAATCCATAAAGGACGACGTTACAGTTATTTCAAATTGCAAAAAATGCAACATCAGACGCCAACAATTTAAACTGAAGCATGGATTTTTAATTATACGGGTATTGCGATAAGCTAGAAAACAGAACATCTGCTGTGGGAACTATGAGCAGACACGAGCCCGCTGCCTGTCCCTCATCTCTCCTGATGAGTTCATATTTCTATCTGCTAAGCATCTTTTGTATGGTGCAAACCCCTTTCTTGAACTGCAAGGGAGAGATTGAGTCTCTTCGCGTAACGCATCAGCAGCCTCTAAATGCTTCTCTGCTAAAATTTCCACAGCCTCTAAATGCTTCTCTGCTAAAATTTCCACTGCACTAACTGAACCATCGTGTGATAAAGACGTTTCCGTCTCTTTCATTGTTTCATCCGCACAAGAATTGGCGTGTATTTGAACTGAGTTTTGGTTACATGATCTGACTTGAAAAAATGGTATTAAACCATCATGCATAAACCACCATGGCGGAGGAGCATCAGGGTTAACTTTCTGAGAATTAGGGCTCTGTTTTTGGTGTTCCACAATTCCACCGAGTGACAAACGCGTGTCTAACTCATCCAATCTTAATGTTTGAGCAAGCTTATCATTCTCCCTCTGACAATTCTCTTGTTTGGCCTTTGAATCCTTGGTAACACTACCAGGTGGAGATTGTCTATCCAAGTCTGATACCAAAACCGTCCTTCCAAATAGCTTAATACTTGGGGAAGCTCTTGGACTGCCAGCATCTCCTTCTGTACCCACAATGTGATTGGAACCTGATCCATGTTTCTGGACATCCACATCAACCCAAGGGTAACCAGAGTCAGAACTCAGAACCCAAAACCGAATAGAGGAATCAATATTTAAAATTTTAAATTAACAATAACAGTTACAGTTCACTTACCATGCACGCAAATTTTTCCGGAGTTGAGTCAGCAGATAACTGAACTGATGGCACGGACTCTTTCACTTCTTCAGTGGATGAGTTGGATGTCATGTAATCATTCTCTTTTTCAACATGGGATAAGATGGTTGAGCGCATGTCAGTGGTACATGAAGTTGGGGTTGCAGATCTGCTAGGCTGGTCCAAAGCTGCAGACCCCAGTACATCTGAACCAAGTGCAGATAATACTGAAGTAGGCGATTCTTGGCCCTTCCCAGAAACTGAAAAATGCGGGGATGGTGACCTTTCTGGCGATCCAATGAGAGAATCGACTGATTTACGTGGATAAGGATGCACAGGCTTCCGCTTAGGCCGCGGAGGAGGTATCTCAATTGGTGTGATGGAGCCTTCGCTAGGTCCGCTCGACTCCTTAGATACCTGAAAGCAAGAAAAACCACATCAATGCAATGAAAAATAAATACTAGCTGAAAATACAACCGACGGACGTTTTAATGGCATGGGACCTTAAACGTTTAACTCAAGAAATGTTTGGATCGTGTGCATACTATAATAGGAAATATGAACTCAAGTCAAGAGCATTCGCTAAAGTTAATACCTTAGAGAAGAACTTTTGAGCATGACTTCGAATCTGAACTGCAGTTTTGGTGCCTACATGTTCTGAATGAAGATAAAGAATAACTTCATCACCAGACTGTGTAAAAGAAAATTTCTGTTAGACAGAGTTATGCAGCCCTGAACATACCTTCTATTTGACGCCAACCTCGGCCATACAATTTCAAGGCTTCAAGGAACTTGTGATGCTCTTCCTCTGTCCATTTTTCTCTTTGTTTTGTAATTGTGTAAGGTTTCCTGATCTGAAGAAAGGGGGAGAAAAGAAAGAGAGAATTAATTTAGCCAAAACTTGAGCAGGGTACATAGATTTTTGGCCAAAAGAAATGCTCCGAAAATGAAAGCTAAGAGAAGAAGGGAACCTTAGGTGTATGGTCATTGCCAAAGGAAGATATCTCCTTGAGTTCAATCACTGGTTTAGATTGTGCATCGCCTTTTAGACTGCAATCGGCAGCTGCAACAGAGGCGTTTGACCCTGTGGCTTCACTGTAATCCTATGGCCAAACACAAAGTCGGGTTGATACTTTTTCATCCAACATAGTCAAAACAAGTGAACAAGCGTCGAACATTAGTACACAATTCAGTTGGGAGGAACACACACAAATAATTCTGCACCAGTTTTACATGAGATTACCGAATCACACATATAATCCCAACCTCAAATCAAGATTATGCACCATCTATACGAGGTTCACCCAAAGTGGTATATATCTATTGAACTATGCATCATCTGGTATTGAGTTGAGGGTCAAATTTCTCACATCTTGGACTGGAACAAGTTGTACTAAGAAATATTTAAATCTAAATTTGCTTAACAGAGAGAGTGCTCATTGGGAAACTAAAATCAAATCCCAATCAAAATCATTCATTGAAAAGACAGAAAATTGAAACACAGTAAGCCAAATTGCATTTGCATACCTCAACAGCCATGGCTGCTCAAAAGAAACAGAACAAGTCCAGCACGTTACTTACTGCAAGAGGTTAACGCACTACACCTAGAAATTGATTGCCCACAAATAAAAGAAACACAAACAAGCTTTCATTAATTGGATATTCCGCTGCATTTAAATAAAAATAAAGATAATAAATAAGAACCAAGCAGACTTTTCCTATAAATAAATAATAAAAACACAAAAGAAGAAAAGTGTTTTTTTTTTTTGGGAAATTAGAAAAAAAGAAAAGTTCTTTGCTTATGTAGACCAGATCAATCAGAAGCTTACCTCAATGGTATCTGAAAGACTGAAAACAAACTTGTCTTGAGAGTTTTCTTTTTCTAACTGAGAAAACAGAAGGCTCCTCGGCTTTTCCCGAGAAACAAAATACAGATTCCGCCGTCGGATTCTCGGGAAATAAAAGAAACGAAAAGGCGAAACCGAAAGAGAAAGATAAGATTAAAAAGAAAGAAGAAGCAAAATCCAAATTCAGAGAAGCAGGAGATGAAGATGAATACAGAGAGAGAGAGAGAAATGAGAGAGATTAGGAGGATAGTAGAAGAAGCGCACAAAGAAATTCAGGGTTATATGGAGGAAGAAAGTAAAAGCAGGGGATGCCACGTCAGAGTGAGTATTTTTTATTTTTGAAAATTTTGTTGACAAATTTGGCAATGAAAAATCGAGAAGGGCCTGGGAATCTTGTGGCTGAGAACGCAGGGGACACTCGGCACTTTCTGATACTCTGTCTCCCACCTTTTCGGCTTTTCTCCTAAATTAAGAAAATTCTGTATTCCTAATTTTTATTCATTCTCTGATATGATATTCTTGTGGAAGATATTAAGTCCAATCCAGATCGGATAATACAAACACTGACTCAGGAGAGGAGGCTTTCCTTTTTCACTAATTAGATATTTCTGTTTTCATTTTAAATTTAGATATAATATATGTATTTTTTTTTACAAAAAGCAATAGAATTTTATTAAATTAATATGAATAAATAGTACGAAAGACACATACCGTAAAAGGAAACTAAGAATACTCGGCAAAGCTCAACTAAGTTTCTAGAATCATGAGAAAAAATAAACACAGAAAACTAAAAAACGATAGGTTTTTTTTTTGTTTTTTCAATACATGTATTAGTCTAAACTATTAGAGAAGGGAATTTCTCAAACACACACACACACACACAAAACTATGATGTACTGTAAATTCGAACTTGAGAGACTCTAATTTGCAAGTCAATGCCTTCTTCACTGTAGTATTATTTTATTTGCTTAATTTATAATTTAATACGTTTTGAGAAAATGAAAAAATAGGTGGAAATGAAAAAAAAGAAAAGGAAGAAAATATCTGAGCCACAAGAAACAAGGAGAGACAAAGAGGGGTGGCCAAGGGCCAAGTCCCTCTCTAAATCTCATCTCATATCTCAAGTGCAAAGTGCAAAGTGGAAAAAGTGGAAAAAGTGGGAAAAGTGCAAGTGGTGTCCCCTCAGCTTTCAATAATCTCTTTTATATTATTGAAAAAAGATTATATCTGGAAAAAATGTGGATGTGGATTTTACTGAAAATAGAGACGTAGGGAGGTGAGAGTGTGACGAACTAAGGTGGTCCCCACCTCTCTATTATCTTGCGCTTTTTGACACCTCAGCTGCACTTTATTTCGTGGCTTCCTTCTCTAAAAGCCATGCTCTCGGGCCCCACCGCCTCCACCCCCACTCAATTTCAATCTTCAAACAACAGGGAGTTATTATTCATCACAAAAATTAATTATACTGTTTTTTTCTTTATAAGATAATAATTATATTGTTATAGATTCAGATAAGAGTATTTTTTTTTTTTTTTATAAGTGATAGTCGAAATTACAGAAGATGAAGATTTCTCATACACATACAAAACTATGATGTCATGAGAATTCGAACCTGAGATCTAGAGTCTACAAGTCAAGGCTTTTTTTCACTGGGTTAGACCTTATTGGCATTTAAGTTTTCTTTTATTACTAAAAGAAGTTTTTAGTTCGAATTTCCTCCTATATTCATATGTTCATAGAAAAAAAAAAGACCAAATAAAATATCCGTAACAATTATTGCAGAGTAGAAGATACTTTAATAATTCAATTAATTCCTGGACCTTGTAACATAGTATTAGCATTGGGATTAAAATAAATTCTAAAGAGAAAACCGCATTAAAGTAAGATGAACGGTCCAGATGAACCTTGACTTTGGAAACGATAAGATTAGAATAGAAGCCTAAACGACTAGGTGCAGTGTGAAAAGCAAAAGTGGAGCCCACCTTGTAGTATTATTAGGCCAAAACTCAAAAGAATTTTTTAAATTTAAAAAAACCTTGAAATATTTGCAGCCACAAGTTTCTAGTATCTAACTTGGTCGGGGGAAAGATTTGAGTCTTAAATTTCTATGCTTTGGTTAGCTGGGTTGAAGTTGAACAGCAAAAGGTCATTGACACGTGCCCTGCAGACCCATTCGGTGATCCAGACACACAGCCAAAAACAAAAGCAAATAACGATCACCCAATGGAGAGGTGGATCTTTCGTAGAAAAATAAACAAATAATAAAATTCCAGTGGTGGATATTTGTTTCTCTAAAACGCCCTTCTGGACCGTGATTATTTTGTGGAAGGTGTTATTTGAAGAGAATGGATGAAATGCTGGCAATGCTACTTATGAAGGGAAAAAAAAAGTGTATTTACATTTAAAATTTAAAAAAAACCATGAATAATAAATGCATTGTTAAGAGATGAAAATGACAAACTCAAGGAGGTTTGCGATTTTCATATTCCCTCTTATCTTATTTTCGTGTTAAAAATAACACGTTCTCAAAAGTAGTTGCAACATAAGAATAAAATCTCATATTTCATTATGAAGGCCCCATTTCTTATAAATAAAATACAAATGCTACCTTGGAACTGAATTTTTTAGGCTGGCTCTGGTGTGGAGTGGGATCACCACCAGCTTCTGTTTTTTTATCTAGGATAGGAGGAGGAGGAGGAGGAGGAGGATAAAGATTCACTCAGATCGTATCATTATATATCATCATCATATCATATGCATGCTTGTTTGGCAATGCCTGCCCTGTGCAGGCCCCACTGGCTGATTGGCTGGCATCCACCGGTGCTTCATACCTCACCCAATTTCCAACCCAAAGTGAGGCCAACCAATCAATCAAAGTAGGCATGGAAAGGAAGTGGAACACCAAACAAAGGTGTAAAGGCTGCTCACATGGATTTTGATAATAATACCAACAAGTTTGAAGTTTGTGAGGCTCTTGTTCGTTTGTCTGATACTTCCAGAGATCCCAAGTCCCTTCATTTTAGGCCTGATGGATGAAGCCATGAAAGTTGATCCAGGGGCCAGGACAGGACAGGACCAATTGCAATTGCATCATTGCATGCTTCAGTTTTAGTTTTAGGTTTGGATTTCTTTCTTTCTTCTTTGCTGACACTCACATGGTATGTACTAGGTGCCTGCCCGCCTAACCCTCTCTTCCTACTTTCTGGGTAAATAATTTGGCCCATGTGATTAGGCTTAGTTTGTTTGTGCCAATGCCAAACTTGAAACGCAAACGCAAATTGATGATATTAATATCTTCTTTGATCTTTTAGGATTAATAAGAGAAGAGAAGACACACACTCATTATCTTTATATATTCAGATTGTTTTTTGTCTACAAACAAACAAACAAACAAACAAACAATCAATCAAACAATCAGAATATGAATGTTCCAACAAGTTTTTATTCTCTTGTAAAAATCATACACATGCAATGGAACTTGGGCCATTCTTCTCTCATGTTCAGCGTTGGGCTAAAATGCCCATGAGCAGTTTCATTATTATCTATGGGTTGGGTTTAGTTTACTTAAAAAGGATCAAAGACTGAAATAAAGAGCCATCAGAAATTAAACACCACAGCCCCAGCCCCAGCCCAGCCCAGCCCTCCAATCAACAACATTATTAACATTGACATTAAGTTGATTGATGGGGTCTTTTCTTATAACAAAAATCTCGCTTGTTCTGCATCACAAGTTCACAATACAAGTTAAAACATCATTAATGAATCCTAGAGAGTACAGTACAGGGTACATGGTACAGGAACAGGATAAAGGAAAGGAGATGATGGGATCAAAAAACACAAGACAAGACAAGAATTGTCACAAGTTGGCAATGGCAAAACTTTAATAATGTTGATGGGAGGGAAGGGAGGGAAGGATCATCAGAAATGATAGAGATGCATTGATGGTGTTTTAAGACATGCCTTTATGGCTATACTAGTTTTCTAACAGACTTGACAACCTGTTACTATAAAGCTTGCTTGTGCTAACTTTGATGAAATGAATGAAACCCATCTTTATGAGAGTGTACTCACTCACTTCACTGGTGCCCAATGTGCCATTACATTTACATGTATAGCAGCAGCAGCACCACCACCACCACCATAGCTCCTTAAGATCTTTATCACTCCTCTTAATCAAACCTTAATATAAACAAATCAAATCAAACATGAATACATAATTGCTTCCAAACAACACATTTCTAATCCTTCCGACTTTGCAAACTGGCACTAATCTTGGTTGCCAAATATATCAAGGCAACACTAATCTTGCTTGGCAGTTAATCAAGGCAACACTAATCTTGCTTCCCAATGAATCAAGGCATCCAAAACTCCAACCGGTAGATTGATGGTAGTAAATGGGATTCAACCTCGAAGAAATTAAAATTTGAAAAACAAACTAAAAGGAAAGGAGATGGACTTAGGGTCATATCAATCAATCAAGGAAGTGCTTTTTTTCCCCAGGAATATGTTAAAGCGCGCGCGCGTACACACATATATTATATATTTATGCTTTCAGTACGTCTCAGGCATGGAGGAGGCCCACAGAGTTGAAGTCAAGCCTACTACGGTCAACGTCTTGGCCCTACACTCTCATTACTCTCACTCTGGTCATCATCCCTCACACAAAGACACATAAACAAACAACACAAATTAATTAAAGGCACTTTAGATCTGTCATTACGGATTTCTTTTGTTTTGTTTTGTTTTTGTGGGGGAGAGAGAGAGAGAGAGAGAGAGAGAGATAAAGTGTGCTACAACAATAGAAATAGAATATGAGAGAGAGACAGACAGACAATTGAAATATGGTTTTTCATATATAATAAATCTAAAAGTCCATGATTAGGAAGTCAATGCCCGAACCATACGATTTTTCTTGCTGGAGTGGAGGAGGAGAGAGTGGAATGGCAGTACGGACTGGA